CAGTGTGAAATTCAACTCTAATTCAGGTGACAAACTGGTTCAACAAGTGCCGCACATCCTGCCTGTGACCTGACCCCTCGGCAGGAGCCGGAATCACACCCCGGAGCAGCCTGCCTGCCTGGCTCTGGCTGAGACCCCCTGACCAGGCTGTTCAGCTCACGAAGAATCAGAGGGATCCCATAGGGCATGGACCATGTTGGGGACAACAATGTTGGGGACGGGGGAAGATGACAAGCTCGCGCCATGGGCTGCTTCCTCCCTGCCGTCTGCTGTGCACGGCTGGGGTGTGAAGGAAACACAAGGTAACAGAATGGAACAGGAAGGTGCTGTGAAGGGCTCCTTGGGACCTGGGGCAGCCAGCAGCTTCCTTGGCAGACAGGCACCCATCGCCCCTTCAGCTTGGGGGGGCCTCGCACCCCTTGGCGAAGGTCTCCACCGCAGACACGTGCAGCCGCTCCCTCGGGGTCAGTGGCTGGGCCTGAGAATTCTCCACCATCGTCTTCAGGTTCCGGGCCAGCTCTGGGTCCAGCTGCACAGAGGTGCCAGTGCCGATCAGCAAGAGGCCGTTGGAGATGACCTGGCCCATGGCTGGCAGCCAGGTGGGAAACAGCTGGTGACTGCGGGTGACCCTCTTCCAAGAGCCCAGCACGTCCCTCCAGTCATCAAGCACGCAGAGGGAGCAGACACGCAGAGGCAGTCCCCCACCCCTACCCCAGTATCTACTCAGACATCAGTGCTCCCCAGAGGTCCATGCAGTCCAGGATCCTGCTTCTGGGTTCCCAGCCCCCACCTCCGCTCCCAGGGGTCAGGGGGAGGGGCGGCCTGGAGGCTCTCATTTGGGTCTCTATCACTAGCCAGTGTTGTCACCGGATGGGCACTGGGCCTGGCAGGGGTCCCCAGTGGCTGCTGTGTGGGGTGGAGCCCCCTGTAGTCTTCCTGCAGGTGTGCAGGGACCAGGGCAAGGTGCATGTTAGGATTTGGACCTCAGCTGCTAGCCCAGGACCCAGCTTCTGACCTGAGGCTTGGGGCCTGCTTCCCCACGTGAGCTACCACTCCCCACCCCCCCATCCCAGGCTCCTTCTGTCCACTGCCCTTACTAGCCCCCTGCCCTCTGCAGTGGACTGTTGAGGAAGGGTCCCTGTTTCCCTGTCCTCCCTCATCAATCAGCCCTGCTCCCAGGCTCAGCGCCTTGCCCCGTGCTGGTGCTACCAAGCTGTGCCAAATGAACTGGGCTGCCCTCTCCAGGCCCACTGCTCCCCTGGTGGCCTCCCCCCTCCCCCCATCTGGCCAGGCTGCCAGCTTGACCGGGAACAAGAGCAGGCCCAGGTGCTGACCCAGGAGAGCCTTTACTCACCGAAGGTCGGGTCTGCTGCTTTGAGCTTTTCCAGGCTGCCCTGCAGGCCACCGAGACTCTTGTCATTGGTCCACTTGACATACTGGGGGGACAGGTCAAGCACAGCTGTCCTCCAGGAGCGCCATCGCTTCTGCCAACTAAACCTACACTCGGCTTCCTTTCCAGAACAGAGTCTTGTCTGGACTCGGACCCCAAAAGTGCATAACCTGGTCCCCGTCACAGCTTACGACAGAAGAATGCGTGCATGTGTGGCTGTTATCAGGTGCCCTCTGACCCCTAGCGACCCCGTGCACAACCGAACCGAACACTGTCTCGTCCAGAGTCGTCCTCACTCTTGTTAAAACGGAAGCTGAGTCGTTCGTGTTGCTTGGACCCACAGTGGAGCCCTGGTGGCACTGTAGTTACCCATTGGGCTGCAACCTGCATGGTTGGCAGTTCGAAACCACCAACAGCTCCCCAGGAGAAAAATGGGGCTTTCTACTCCTGTAACCAGTTACAGTCTGTGAACCTGACAGGGGGTACTGTGGTCAGCCTGGGCCCCATAGCAGGGCGAGCTGGATCCACAAACCATTCCTTCTTGCTTGGGATGAAGCCGAATTTCCAAAGAATGAAACCTCAGAAGGGAGGTGGCCTGTTACACAAGGCCAGTCCTACGGGGTCCTTGAAACCGGGGACAGGGCAGGGACCACAGTGGGGGCAGTCCTATGTGTTATGGGCTGAATGGTGTGACCCCTAAAGACATGCTGAAGTCCTAACTCCTGGCTCCAGGAAATGTGGTCTCCCTTGTAAATCAGGCCTTTGGAGAAGGGACCCGTCAATGTGAGGTCCTGCCGAGGCTGAGCTGGGTCCTGATCCCATGTCGTGGTGTGTTTTTAAGGGGGGAGAACAGACACGGGAATGAACTCATTGAGGCAGGGGACGACCTTGTCTCAAGATGCATCTGCAAGCTGAGGAAGACGAAAACGGCCAAGAAGCTCCTGGAGCTACCAGGAACTGGAAGACACAACGAAGTCCCTCCCCCAGAGCTCACAGGGAGCGTGGCCCTGCGAGATCCCGGGGCCCCAGCCCCCAGCCTCCAGAATGGAGGAGAAGAGTCACAGATTGGGGGTCCCCCCACAGTATATGGCATTTTCAAAGCAGCAGTCCTTGGAAGAAGAGGCTTTTGAGAGATCGAAACTGAAATGCATTGGCATTGGGGCCGGGGACCCTGGAGGACAGGGGAGAACTGGCCCAGCGGGTTTCTAAGACTGTAGGGAGTGGCGGCGGCCACTGAAAACCCTTTGGACTGCAGTTCCTCTCGGCAACGCACGGGGCTTCCTGAGTCAGAATTCGCTCCACAGGGACGGCTTCTGTGTGGTGCACAGACCAGGAATGGCCAGTTCGCTTTCCTGAGTGTCGCTACAGTATCTTTTCAATGAACTAGCGTAGAATTAAAAACTTCTAAAGAACGATACAAATAAATGAAGACCACCTTCCACAAAAATTACAATATAATCGCCTATCTTGCTATGCCTTGATTTTTGATGCACATTATTATCTCTACAGATCTATCTAGATAAGATAGGCTGGATGAACAGTCTGGAGGAGAAAACAACAGGACCAATGGCTCCGGGGGACACTGGAGAGGGGGAGGCGGGGTAAGGAAGTGGTGCTGACCAACCCAGGGACAGGGGAGCAACAAGTGATCCAAAAACAGTGGCAAGGAGGGTGTGAGAGGCCTGGTAGGGATTCAGCAAAGGCAATGTAACAAGAAAAATTACTGTAACCCAAATGAAGGCTGAGCATGATAGTGGGACAAAAGGAAAGTAAAAGGAAATAGAGGAAAGAACTAGGTGACAAAGGGTATTTGTAGATGTCTAAATACTGGCATGTACATATGTAAATACATTTATATAGGAGGGTGGGGAAATAGATCTAAGTGCATATATTTATAGGTTTAGTATTAAGGCAGCAGATGGGCATTGGACCTCTACTCAAGTACTTACTCAATGCAAGAACACATTGTTCTATTAAATTGGCATTCCAGGATGCACACCTTCCCTACACAATTGCTGAAGGAAAATGTGTGCATAAGCAAATGTGGTGAAGAAAGCTGATGGTGCCCGGCTATCAAAAGATATAGTGCCTGGGATCTTAAAGGCTTGAAGATAAACAAGCGGCCATCTAGCTGAGAAGCATCAACGCCCACATGGAAGAAGCACACCAGCCTGTCTGACCACCAGGTGTAGAAGGGACCAGTTATCAGACATCAAAGAACAAAAAATTATATCAGTGGGTGCCCACCTTCCCAATACTATCACTGAAGACAAATGGGTACACAGAAAATGTGGTGAAGAAAGCTGATGGTGCTCGGCTATCAAAAGATATAGTATCTGGGGTCTTAAAGGCTTGAAGATAAACAAGCAGTCGTCTAGCTCAGAAGCAACAAAGCCCACATGGAAGAAGCACACCAGCCTGTGTGGCCACAAGCTGTGGAATGGATCGGGTATCAAGCATCAAAGAACAAAAAATCATATAATTGTAAACTAGGGTGAGTGCAGAGTGGACACTCAAAGCCCATCGGTAGGCAACTGGACACCCCTTTACTGAAGGGTTGTGGGGAGGAGATGAGCCAGACAGGGTGCAGGGTAGCAACGATGAAATATATAACTTTCCTCTAGTTCTTAAATGCTTCCTCCCCCCCACTATCATGATCCCAATTCCACCTTACAAATCTGGCTAAACCAGAGAATGCACATCGGTACAGATAGCAACTGGAAACACAGGGAAGCCAGGACAGATGACCCCTTCAGGACCAGTGGTGAGAGGGGCGATGCCTGGAGGTTCCTCTTCCTCGGGCTTCTTCTTTTTAATTGTAGTCCGGGAGGAAGCTGATGGGGCAAGTCCGCTTCCCATTCCACAATGACAGGCTTTCTGCTCCGTGGCATTGGCCACAATGGAACTTCATTCTGCCCTTTCATCCCTGGGTCCCCCCTTTCCATTCCTCTGACCTTTGTTTGGGGCCACTGCTGTCCTTGACCTCACGTGGCAGCCTGCACTGAGGAGCTCCTCTGGGTGTTATTCGTCTGTCTATGGTTTAGTCAGGAGCCCTGGTGGCATAGTGGTTATATGTTGGGCTGTTGGCTGCAAGGTCAGCAGTTCGACACCACCAGTCGCTCCTTAGGAGAAAGACAGTGCTTTCTACTCCTATAAACAGTGAGAGTCTCAGAAACTCACAGGGGCAGTTCTACCCTGTCTTGCAGGGTTGCTATGAGTGAGGGGTTTTTTTTCTTCTGTTTTTTTAATTGTTTGGCTGAAAATGGATCCCTGGGGGATGGTTCAGCTTCATGTTTGAAGGAAGTCTAAAGGCTACAGGAGAGTCTACCAGTCCCTTATCAGACCAGGAAGTATGGTCTATTTGATGATTTTGAATTTTGTTCTATATTTTTTCCCCCTTCCTCTCCCTCCAGGACCCACTATTGTGATTCCGGTCAGAGCCGTTGGTACTGCAGCAGGGTACCTTCTCGGTCTTCTGGTCTCCAGAGAGTAGAGGCTACGGGTCAAGTGGTCTCTGGGCCCTTTAGACCAACTGCTTTATGTGAGTGTTTTCTTTTCTTCCTTCTTCTTTGCACCACAGGTGGCACCTTAGATGGTCTCTCGGAAGCTTCTACGATGCCAGTCGCTACTCACCCTTAAAGTAAGATGCAGAACATTGCCTTTGCAGACGATGTTATGCCAGCCAACTAGTCCCCTGAGACTCCAGTCCTAAGTCCCTGAGCCCAATGAGTCATTTGCTCAAGATGCTTGGTGACGGCTAAGAAGTTTTCAGACCTCTGCTCCTGGCAGGCTTTACAATATCGGCGATGTAGTTACAGCCCAAAAGATACCTACGTAGAAATATTCTACATACAAATTTATAAGGGTATATCCCATCCACCCTCCCACATCTGTTTCAGCTTGCATGCCTACAAGTGCAGGGTCATGTATGAACAGCACACACCTTGGTTGTGTTTGACTAAGCGCACCTCCCGGGTTTTCCTTTGCCATTGGTCGTCTTGTGCTGTCTCCCCACCCCCACCCCTTATTTATTTATCTTTTTGGTGGGGAGCACGGTTGCCACTGAGGGGCAAGGAGAGAGATGAGGACCCTCAATGAGATGGCTTGGCACAGTGGCTGCCACAATGGGTGCAAACCCAGGATCTCTCGTGAGGCTGGCGCAGGACCAGCCAGTGTTTTGTTCTGTTGTGCGTACGGTCGCTGTGGGTCAGAACGGGCTCGATGGCATCTAACAACAGCTGCCACTGAACGGGCTCAGCTCCGTGTCACCAAACGATTCGTTGTGGTCAAGCAGGCGGTGTCTGACTCCCAGAGACCCTGCGGGATTGGGAAGAACTGCCCCATGGGTTTCCGAGGTTGGAATCTCTCCAGAAACAGATCGCCGCAGCTTTCTCCCCAAGAAGCGGCTGGTAAGCTAAACTGCCGGCTCTCAGTCGCCAAGGGCTGAACCCCTGTGCTGGCAGGGCTGCTTGTCACAAACCAGGGGCTCCGTAAAGATCACCCAGGGCCACTGCTTCTGTGGGCTGGCGTACCTGAGTCAGCGTGGCATCATACAGTCTGCAGGCCTCGTTGCTTGGAGTGGAGAGGGGGAGTCCGGCATCCTTCCAGGCCTGCAGGGATGAACATAAGCAAGACAAACATGCAGCCTGGCTCCTGGTGGGCTTTCCCAACGTGTCCCTGGTGTCAGGGACCGTCCAGTTGCTTCTAGCCCATATATAATGACCCTCTGTCCAGCAGAGGTAAACACTGCCTGGCCCTGGCCCTGGCCCTGGCTCTGTGCCTTTCAATAGGACTAGAGCCAACCCCAGCCCATAGTGTCTGCACCTCCCACACCTCCAGGTGCCTAATGGTTGTACAGGTGTGACTACCAGTTCCTCAGGCCTGCAGGGCGGATCTGGGACCCCAGTGAGTCCACTCTACCCTCTGCAGAATGGGGCTCATCACCTGGAGTGAGGGGACTAAAAGTCTGCTCAGGCAAAGCCCTTCAGGAGCTGTGTGTGTCTTGTTTGATGCCTGGGACCCTTCCCCACAGTGAGGAAGTCTAGGAGGAGGAAGGGCAGGAGGAAGCTGGCCTTGCCCTGGATACTACCTAACTCCCCAGCCTCACCCCCTTAGCTGTCCGCTTGGGCTGGGACCTTGCCAGGATTGCTCAATGCAATGGCGCTTTGGCACCCTGTCAGACGCCAGCTGGGATGGGTGCAGTGAGTGGCTGCAGTGCCCATGGGCAAGTGCCCTGACCACCTGAATTCCCTGTTCCTCATCTACAAAATGGGCGCAGCGTGGGTAGCTGGTGCTGCTGGGCACCAGGACCGTCGCACACTCTGTCAGGCAGTGTTGCTGACCGCAGTTTTCAGAGGCACCCCTGAATGCCAAGCCTACCCCCACCCCCACCCCCAGGCCCAGTCCCTTCCGCGTCTGCTGGCAGGGACGACGCGCACGCTGAGCGAATGCCCGAGCCCCGCCGCGCACCCCAGCCAAGTCCCCGGCTGGCACGCCAGGTCTGACCCCACGGATCGATCACACGCCTGGCCGCAGAGCCGAGAAGCCTCGCGTACCTGACAGTCCCGCAGAGACGCGGGCAGGGCCATGGCGCAGGCAGCTCCCCTCGTCCTGGTGGGCGGGCTCCTAGGCAGCCTTCAGGAGGGGGTGCCTGGGGCGTGGCAGCCGCGGGCTCGCTCACTGGCTGGGCTTCCACCAACCGCGTGGCCCTGGCCACAGGCCCGCCCCGAACCAGCGACAGGGACCTAAGCAGGAAGCCAAACCTGCAGGTTGGGGGGCCTGGGGTGTGCGCACGGCCTCATGGGGGTGCTCCCGACCCTCTGCGGGGTCTTGACATCCCACCCTAGCCCCATCTTGCAGGAAGCATGCTAAGTTAAGAGTTCCTAGGGAGGACGGGGTCACTGGTCGCTTTAATTTCTACGTGTCCACGCTACACATACATGTAGAGCACATTTGGGGGGACTATCTCACCACTGGCTTTACTGTGTTGTCCTGTCGGTTCCCTGGGATCCCCTCCACCCCCCTCAACTCCCCGCCTTCCCACTGTCTCATGTTACTTCCCCACTGCGTAATCAAGTTCACCCTCCTAACAGGAGCCCTGCCATCAGCCTGGAACCAGGGATCTATCTACTCTAGTCAGGCCGGCTCTTCCCAACCGAACTGCCCTCTCCACGCTCCACCCTCCAGGCTGGAGAAGGTTCATGGGAGCAAAGGCAGTGGGTTCAAGGCAGGATCCATCCCGTCCATATTTTAAATGCTGCCATGTTGTTCATCAAAGAATGGCTATTCCCCCATTAATCTTAATGTTTTTAATTGCATCCAAATAGTAGGTGTCTTACAGAGGAGTCAAAAACTCTATAAAACGTTTAGAAGAAAACGTGAGGCTTCATCTTCATGCCCCTGCATTTGGCAAAGGATTCTTGGAAAGGACTCCCAGAACATAGTGACCCAGGAGGAGCGGGTCACCCAGCCTTGGTCAGAATGAGGCGTCTTTGTGCATCAGGGGTGCCATCCAGAGTTGAGGGAAAGCCGACCTAGCGGGAGCAAATTCTGGGAATGTGAGACCCCTGGAACACCCGGAGAAATTCGGAAAGCTTGCACCTTCTCAGAAAGAAAAGGTCCAGTGAAGAAAGCCAGGCCGCAAATCTCACTTATTAACTTAAAAATGGAACCGGTGTTTCTCCACAGGAAGCTAGAGATGGCTGACCAACTCAGGAAAAGTTGCTCAACAGCACTGTTCTTAAGAGCCGTGGAGTGTGTTCCAACTCCCAGCAATGCTGCTAGAAGGTACCGCGCCCGCCCCCCACCAAAAAAAAAACCCGGATTGCCCCCAAAGTTATGTATTTAATTTAATTTTTTTAAAACAAAACAACCTTATCACCTTTCAAAGTACTCTCCGTTACACTTGTCAACTCTGCAATCCCATTCTTGGAAACATGTTTCAAACTCATCTGTTGGGATGGCTGAAAGTACCTTTCTGATTTCTTTTCACCCCTTCTACATCATCAAATCGCTATCCTTTCATGTCCCTCTTCATTCGTGGAAACAAAAATAAGTCGGGAGGAGTGAGGTCAGGTGAGGAAGGGGTGTGGGGCAAGAGAAGCATGCTGTTCTTTGCCAAAATCAAGCGCACTGATGGCTGCGTGAGCAGGTACATAGTTCTGGTGGCAAAACCAGTACCCTATCTGCCACAAATCCAGTCTTTTTTTATATCACACCTTGTTATGCAATTTTTTAAGAACCTCTAAATAGAAAGCTTGATTAACAATCTGACCTGGTGGAACTAGCTCCAAATGCACTATCCCCCTCACCTAAAAAAAACCAACCCAAATAATTATGGTTTGGATTTTTTATTTCACTTGGCCAGTTTTGGGGGGTGAGGTGTCTGCATCTTCCACTGGCTGGATTGATGGTTCCTTTCAGGCACTTTGGAGCTGTTCTTTCAAAGAACGACCTGTTTCCTGGTCAGTCAGAACCAGAGGCAAAATTTCACAATGGCCCTTCTCATTCCCAAATCTTACATTCAAATCTGCTGAACCACGCACCAAAATAGTCCAGATAACTTCCCCATCTCTTCAATGGAGCTTTGTTGATCTTTGATCACAAAAGTGGACAGATATTGTAGACATTTTCATTCGCTCAAGTAGTTGATAGATGTCCAGAATGAGGTTGGTCATCAATTGACATTTCACCTTTTTTGAAATGAGAAAAGCACTTGTACACTTGAGTTTTTCCCACAGCGCTATACTTATAGGCTGTGTTCAACATCACAAGAGTTTCTGCAGCATGTTTTCCAAGCAGGAAACATAATTTCACAGCTGCACGCTGTTCTCTTAAATTGGCCATCACAAAAAAAACGAGGTTCAAAGGAAACTGATTTTATGAAAAAATTCACTGTTACCAGAGAGAAACTTCCCAGGAGACACCACTGGGAGCATGAATTCGGAGCAAGTTGCTCCATGCTACCCCAGGAGGGCAAATGGGAATGACCAAAGCTATGCCAGGCAGAAGAGAATGATTTTTTTCTTGTTCACTTCAACTAGCTCAGGAGAAACCACATGTGGTTCTTTATTTTTGCCGGTATCATTGCTAAACCGGTCAACCGGCTACGACTGTCTTGCTGCTTAGCAGTGTTGCTCAGCACTCTTCTTTGTAATATTATGTTCTTTAACGCCAATCGCAAAGAGCACATTGAGTTAAAAGAGTTATACCACATCAGATTAATGATGATTGCAATCAAAAGCACCTTAACTACCGTCCCCGTACAATTATTGCTAAGTTTTCTGTTCACCTATTCTCAGAAGAAACCTACTGAAATGACTGTAGATGAAGGAGCTCCGCAAAAGCATCATCCTGTAGTGTCAGAAGGAGGAGGATTTTGGGATGAACATTTGGTAAAGTGGTATGCTTATGAGACCACTAACACGGAGACCAGACAGGCGGAAAAGCTCGCATCTAGTGGCAGTCCTGAACTTCAGGAGGCTCCTGGGAAGACAACCTCCAAAATAAATCACCAGCTTGAGGTGGAAAAAAACAAGGCCCCTCAGTCCTACAAGAAAAATACCAATTCTAACAACAACAGAAACGCTAATGCGAAAGATAATCAAGATGTGTGCTCTGAAGAGCCCCCTTCCCAAGAGCAACCTAAGCCTAAGACCAGGATTCTTCTACCTCAATGGTGTGTTTACATAGCATGGTTCTTGGTCCTTGCCATTTGTAGCACATCGTCATTCCTTCTTGTATTTTATGGATTGACTTATGGCTATTACATGTCAATAAAATGGCTCTACACATGCAAAAAATGGCTCTAAACACAGTGGATTTTTCCCTTTTTTCAGTCAATTTTTCTAGTGCAGACAACTAAAATTTTACTCTGGACAAGCATCAGAACACATAAGCCCAAGTACTGTAAAAGGCTTCCATGGACAGTGAAACACAGGCAGCATCTCCACATCATATGCCTCAGGTGCTCTAGGAGGCCTGACAAAACCCCCATCCTAAATTGTCATCTGAGTACGGTGTTGACCCAGAAGACACAAACAACTATTCTAGCTTTTGGAAAGATGTTGGAAAGCAGGCTGTCAGCATGAATCCCAATGTGTTTACCTATAAACCACAAGAAAAGAATTGGCCGTATCATTCCTATGGACTGCCACATACCTATGGTTCAGGGGGATATGCCTTCTATTTCTTTCCAGACCAGCAGCAGTTTAATTCCACGTTGAGGCTGAAAGAGCTCCAAGGAAATCATTGGCTCGATGAGAAGACGTGGGCCGTGATTTTGGAACTTACGACTTTCAATCCAGATGTGAATCTCTTCTGTTGTGTTTCCATCATCTTTGAGGTCTCTCGGTTAGGAGTTGTAAACTCAAGTGCATCGGTACACTCTTTCTCACTTTCTGACCTTAACTGGAACAGGTCCGCGGAAATCTACTTGTACCTGGCCGTTCTCATATTTTTCTTAGCTTATATTATTGATGAAGCCTATATCATTGTGCAAGAAAGAGCCTCCTATGTGAGAAGTGTATATAATTTACTCAACTTTGTTTTAAAATGCATATTTACTGTTCTGATTGTGTTCTTTCTCAGGAAACTCCTCTTGACCACTGACATCATTCTGTTTTACTTGTCGAGCCCTCAGAATTTCATTCCATTTCATGCCATTGCTCAAGTAGATCACGTTGTGAGGATACTTTTGGGTTTCCTGGTTTTTCTGACCATCTTGAAAACCCTCAGGTATTCCAGAGTCTTCTATGATGTGCGACTGGCACAGAGGGCCATCCAAATTGCTCTTCCTGGCATCACCCATATGGCCTTTGTGGTGTCAGTTTATTTCTTTGTATACATGGCTTTTGGCTACCTGGTATTTGGCCAGCATGAATGGAACTACAGTAACTTGATTCATGGCACACAGACAGTATTGTCTTACTGTGTCTCAGCTTTTCAGAACACCAAATTCTCTAGTAACAGGGTCCTCGGTGTTCTATTCCTCGCATCTTTTATGCTCATCATGAGCTGCATTTTGGTCAACTTGTTTCGGGCTGTGATTCTGTCGGCCTATGAGGAGATGAAGCAGCCTGTCTATGAGGAGCCATCAGATGAAGCAGAAGCAATGACCTATTTGTGTCATAAACTAAGAATGCTGTTTCGTTTCCTGACCTGCCAACCCAGGACCAAAGAGGAACCCGACTTTGTCACTGACATGTTGTATGGGCAACCAGAGAAGAAGACTCGTCAGTACCTGGGGCTGAAGACCAGACTCGTTAATGGGAAGAAAGTGGCTTACATTGTTGTTTGAGCAATGAGACTGTCAAGAGCCTCTAGGAAGACACCTCACAGGCAGACCCAGGTTCAGTTGGAGGGGTTCAGGCATATATAGTGGCCATCTCCTGATTTTCACCCATGCCCTTCCTAATGCACACCTTCTTCATTTCATAGTATCCCCACACTTGGCCTCTCTTCTCAAGCATGTGAAAGAAATATATTGAACTTGAATGTAATGTCGGGAAGAGGAGGATCACAGTATTCAATTTCAGGACTGAATTCCCTTTATCACCTAATTTGTAACTCCCAGGAGAGAGGCAATGTTTTCTTATTCGGAGTTTGCAGCAGTGGAGAGGCATTGGAGACACTTGCTCTAGAACCAGATTTGAGGGAGAGAACCAAAGACTCCCTAAGCCTGGGGCAACATTCTCCTGCAGCTTCTATGCTCAGTCCAGCCTTGAATGGACATGCTGACTGCTTGACAACAGAATGCTGGGCTCCTCGGCCTTGCTTGGAGTTTCCAGTGCAGACCAAGGTTACTGAGCCTCTTCTCCATCTTCCTCTCCCTCCTATTTCAGTTAGGTCAGGACTATAGGGGCCATATGAGAACTTTACAGTATTTATTTATCCTCTTGCTTAGGAGTAGGGTGATGAGAGCTTATGGGAAGTGAATCAAACAGCTGAAGCTTCCCTCCACTCTTCAAGGATTTCAAATTTAATACATTTTCTGACTAAAAGACATGGCTTTTGTCGAACAACAAAAAGGTGTATGTGTGTGTAGGTTCACATTGAATCTTTTGTATTCACTGACTATAGTGATACTAAGGTGCAAGATTTGGGATGAGTATTTATGAAGGATAAAATGGTATTTATCATTTAAGAGCATCAAGGGGAACCTGCTTTTATAGTGTCATTCCGCAGTGTGCTTATGTATCCTTAGAACCTTAAGCTTGATCTGCATTAAATGTGGTTTCTTCTGTGAAAGTCTGAGATTAGCAGTGATTCCTGGGGTGGGGGTGGGGGAGCATTCATATATGGCTTCTGCCCTCAGTGTCCAAAGCTCAGGCTACATCTGGTGGGCAGACACTTCTGGGCAAGGGTCACTGTGCTCTATCACAGTCCTGTGTCCGCACCACACTGGCACAGTCTGCTCTGCCAACCTAGTCACAGACACACACACCCGCTCCACCACCCCCGTTGCAGTCCCAGGGAAGTGAGCGTCGGAGCGCGTCGACAGAAGGCCAAGACCGCGTGCTCACGCAAGAGCCAAGTCTCCCTTCAGCCAGCATCTCTAGGGTTCCCTTAGGACCTCCTGAGACAAAGCGAGCAGAAAAACGCAAAGGCGTGGAACCAGCACAAAGCCCCTCCCCACGCCCCGCCTTTCAGGACCGGGTGGTTTGCTGTAAAGGGGCGTGGCCATCAAGGGAGCCCCGCCCCCCCTGCTAGTGCCTCAGTGACCGGTTGCCTAGGCACCCAAGGACCTGGGGAGGAAACCCACTCCGCGCATGCACCTGAGACGAGCCCACCCGCTTAGCAATGACGAAGCTCCGCCCATCAAGGGGCTCTGGGTGAACCAATCGGCGGCAAAGCACCGCCCCTTGTCCGCTGCGCATGTGCCCAAAGAAACCACCTTGTCTTGCAGAATTCAGGTGAGTGCTTGGCTCCTGCCTGCGTGTTTGAGTTCGCTCGTGCGTGCGAGCGTTTTCTTGGGACCCCTCACCGGTCTGGCGCTCAGCCCCTGAGGGGCGTCGTGGGGCCCTGGCCATCAGTGGGTGAGGCCTCGCGGCTGGGGCGGCCGCGCGTGTGGAGGTGGGGGAGACCGGGCCACAGTCGCCGTCTCTGCGGAGCCCCGGCACCCGGTGTGCGAGGGCCGGAGGGGGCCGGCCTCCTGGTGAAGGCCCGCGCGTGCAGCAGGACACAGGCCCCGCAGAAAACGCCCAGCAGCCTCAGGGAGGACTGGGGCCAGCATCGTACAGCTGCGGAGTCGGATTGAGGTTCCACGTGACTACTTGGTTTTCATAGAAAATGCTATCAAACTGATGATGGCAACATAAGTACAAATGTGCTTGACACGTGGATGATTGTATGGATTGTGATGAGATGTAAGAGCCCCCAATAAAAGTATTTAATTAACAAATAGATTTTCTTTTACTTTGAGCCCAAGTGGGAGGAACCGTAATAGTCTTTATAGGTAACAAAAGAGACACCAAATCTCAGATTTAAGGAAAACATTAATCCTTAAATAGAGGAAACACACTGACATGTCCCGATGAGGGAGACCTTTACCTTGAGGATGTGATGGTGTCCAAGGATTTGCAATCACACAGCTACTTAAATAAGACATGGAACACAGAATGCTCACAAACTCCTGACCGACCGCTGACCAATACATGGCCTTACAGGTGGCACTGCAGACGTGGGACAGCACCATGACGTTGTTAGGTGCTGTCCAGGTGGTTTAGACTCACAGCGACCCCATGTACGACAGAAGGACACATGGCCTGGTCCTGCATCATCCTCACAATTGTGTTGGAGCCCAATGTTGCAGCCACTCCATCCATCTCCTTGATGGGTTTTCTGTTTTTATCACTGACCCTTTCCCACGCAGAATGTCCTCCTCAAGGAACTGGTTTCTCCTGCTAACATATCCAAAGAACCTGGTGTAAATAGAGTCTGGGCAGCCTGGGTTCTAAGGAGCATTCTGGCAGTACTTCCTCCAAGACAGATTAGCTTGTTCTGGCAGTCCCTGGTACTTTGAACATGCTTTTCCAGCACCATGATTCCGAAGCATGGATTCTTCTGTCTTCTTTATTCAGGGTTCAACTTGAACATACACATGAGGTGATTGACAATCCCATGGCTTGATTCAGGTGCCCCTTAGGGGCCAAATTAGGACATGTACATTATGTTAGAAGGGCATTCAAGATTGCCTTGGGCCTTCTGGCAGTCTGGGCATGACTACTGAGACCCCCCCAGAAAGTGATCACCTTCAAGAAGACACCCAGGTGAGCCCCTGAGAAACTGTTGCCCCCTGGGCTAGCTAAAGAGGCATGGAGGTAATCTATCCAATTCAATATTTCTGAGGGTCAGACTTAGGATGATTTCCGTGCTTGGTTAATGTGCAGAAGGAATTCAGTAGAATCGTCCTCCTTGTGAGCCTTGGTTCCCTCCACATCCCATCAGCACCACCACCACCAATCTACACTGCGCTTGATGTCCTACCAACCCTGTTGATCCCATGACCCTGCTGTCCCTGATCTTGCAACATGGACAACTTCTCTCCATCTGCTCTTGCCACCCAGCTGTTTCAGTGGAGCCCCCACACCTGCCCCAACTATACCTGTCCCCAAGACTACCCTTCCGCCTCTGAGATGAGCACCGCCCGCGCTAGTCACGCGCGCTGCAGCCGTTGAGCCGACTTCGGCCCTCTCCCACGCTCTCTGTCCCTCTGCGGGCTCCACATGAGGCCAGGGCCCGCGCTGCTGCTCCTGGGGCTGTCCCTGGGCCAAGGCTGCCTCCGGATGACCTCGGTTCCAGGCGGGGTCCAGGCTGCAGACCCGGAACCACTCACATGGCGGTCAGAGGGCCCGCCCAGTGTCCTTGTGCCTGGTGAGCGAGGCCAGGTCCCCCCTAGCTCGGACTTCAGAGGGCCTGGCATCCGCACCCATCTCTGCCTGCGGTTCCACCCTGAGCGCCAGCCACAGCCTGAGCATCCTGAGACCGGGGGGCGCCATGGGGGCTGTGTCCCGCGGCCACTACCTGGGTCTGCACGCCCTGCTCCGTGCCCGCGACGGGGCCGCCGCGCCCAGCCACCTGCACCTGCTGCTGACTGCGCCCAAATGCCACCTGTTGCTGGCCTGATTCCCACCTCTGCAGCGCCCTCCGCGCCACCCGCGCTGAACCTTCCTGTTGCTGCTGCTCCGGCCCTGCCCCGCGGAGACCAGGCGCCCCCGCTCCCTGGCCCAACTCACCTGGCCCGCCGGGGCCGGGGCCAGGGCCGGGCCCCACAGGGGCTTCATGGCCGAAACCAAGGGCCCCAGAGACAGCGGCCCCAAGCAGTGATTTTAGAAAAAGTGAATTCGCACCCACGCAAAGCCAGGGAGCCCTCTGTGTTGTCCCCTCTGCTAGGTTGTACTTCACATGTAACTATCGAGAGGGACAGCGGCACAGAACCCGTGAAGCTTAGCAGGACGGAAGACAACACCATCAACGCCTCCATGGTCTTCTCCTGCCCAACTGCCGAGTCTTCGAAGCAGTGGTGGGAAATCTTCAAGGTGTCACGGCGAAAGAAGGTGCCCAACTGGGCAAAACCTTTGTACATACCACAGATCCAGATGGGAAACTCAACATCTCTATTTATCCCTAAGAACACTTTAATGTGGGGGCTGTATGTGCTGAGATTCAGGTTGTTGATCACCACGAAAATAAAAAGTTTACCTATCATTGACACCAATGATCACATCTACATCGAG